AATTTTCTGATAGACTTTAGTGTTTATATCTTCAGTTTTGGCCAAACTTTTCACTGCACTGAGATTACTAATGTTTAACTTAAATTAACCATAACCTAAACTCTTTTGAGAACAGGCAGCAGGTCAAAACTCTACTTCAGACATGTCAGACTCAGGCCCGGGGGCCCCATTTGGCCCGCAATATAATTATATTTGGCCCGCGAGATCATATCAAATCTGTATTAGAGCTGCCCTGCTGGCTACAGAAAGACTATAGAGACATTATTTATTTAAATGTAGTTATTGTTTTATATTCTGCTTGTTCTGGATTCAATGATTAAGCAAAACTATTATTAAAAATTTATTTTAATAAAAAAAGGTTTAACATTACATATCTTGAAAGAAGAGAAAACATGCAGATGTTGAAATTTTTCAATAAATATTTAGTTTGGCTCACGACTTAGACCCAGTTTTTAATTTTGGCCTCTGTGAATGTGAGTTTGACACTCCTGCTCTACTTTATTCTTCTCAATTTACAAATGTTTCTCATCCTGAGCCTTAAAGGATGCACTCTGTAGCTTTTTCTGGTGGAGTTTTGGCCTCCTGCTCGACTCACGGGGATGTTATTGTGTCGCCTGCATGTCTCTCAGAATAATAATCTTCTTTATCTTATGTTTTGCAGAAGGACACCGGATGAAGAGACATCATATCAGAGTTATATCTCCTATGCATTTTGATCTGAAACATTATCATTATCATCTGCACAACCTGTTTTCTTGTTTGTGTTTTGCTTCTATCGACAAGTAATGCCTGGAATGTAGCACAAACTCAGGAATGACCTGTTTATTTTCTAGTCTTAGTACGGAACTGTTTTGAATTTTTGTATGCAGTTCCAGTCGTTTGCATACAGGACGCGGCCAAATTGCAGCTTCTCAGAGCAGAGAGTGAAGCAGAAGTGGCCGTGTTGTGTGCGCAGTGAAAGTGGAACAAGCCCGGCCACGACTCAACCACAGTATGGAAATGACGACGGCCGCTGCTGAGTATTAATAAAAACAATAATGGGACTTGAATCATGGCCTGTGCTGTCTTCTGTCCGAAAGTGGCTTGATTAAACGTCTTAACTGTCCTCAAATAATAAGTAGGGATGTGCAAAAATATTGAAATATCGGTATATAATGTCGTTTAATGTGATGATACTCTTGGCGATATATCGATACTGTATTTTTTTGCTTTATTTTACTAAATTATTTTGTTACAGCTACAGTTTTGTTGCTTATTTAGACCAGGTGTGGGCAAATATTTTGTTCTTGGGGCCACACGAGAAACAGAAAATGCTCAATTCTGCAAAATATTAATTGTATTTCTTCATAAAAATCAGTAAATATCATTGTTTTGACGAGCTGCTCAGACTAGGAAGAGTTTATGTTATGACTAAGCAATGAAAAAGTGAGGCTGCCTTACAAAAAATGTCAAAAAATTAAAATAAAATATGTTTTGTTTTGTTTTGTAATTCCGAATGAGTTTAAACAGTCTGACTTTGCAGAATTAGAGTTCGTTCACTCGACTTTAGGCGGGTACTTTTTTTATTAAACCAATCGCTGCTGTTTGGTCGTGACGTATGTAATGCGCCGCTAACGGAACTAACTGGTATATTAAGCTTTTCCCAAATCCCTTAGGAAGAAGGACAATAACGTCTTTCCCCTTTATAAAATTCACCAAACATTCTCTTTGTTCCGGCTTTAAATCCTCGATCTCGGGAATCGTTGACAACACAGAATATATGACTCTTCGCTGATTGGCTGGTGCCCGAACTCACACTTCCGGGGTTTTTGCGAACCGTCTTGTGCAGGTATGTTCAAACTATGGCCCGTGGGCCAAATGCGGTCCTCAGACAAATTTTCCTCACCCCTCAGGCTTCCAGGCAAGGAAGCATCAATTAGAAATGACCTTTTTACTGCATGTTTTTTGAAATCTACCTTGATAAAGCTCATATTTAATATTTACTGTGTGGTTTTAAGGATCTTAACATGAGTAAAGATGATGGTTCATTCTAACGTGTTAAACATGCACATATTTAAATATTCACTGTATTGAGCTCCAGTCTACAGCCCTTGATCAGCCCTCTGCTTCATCTGTGTTTAGATTTGTGGCCCTTGATGTAGTGTATTCTGATTCCTGATGTAGTCACTGGAGAGAAATGAAATTGAGCGGAGGCACTAGGTGGCGCCATCCTGGCTAATATTTCTTATCAGCATCTAACCAATGTGTCTTGTCTGTTTTTATGCGTGTAGCCTTTTTTTTTCCCTACAGACAGGTGTTGAAAACCAGCACTTGTGCTAAAACACTCATAGCGATGCATCTGACGTGTCATCTGTGCGACTGTGATGCCCTTAATAAACAAATAAATAAGCAGATCAAAAACGCTTTTAAAAAGGTGGAGTGTGCAACTTCTTTTGTGGACGGCAAGTCTCCTGTTTGTTTCCATGTACAGTTTATCGCTTTATGTGGAAAACCCAATGTCACATTTGCTACACTCAGCCTCACACAGGCTCCTCTCAGATCACAAGTCTGCACTAATGAGTGTCCTTTTAATCCAGACTCAAAATGATCATCCGTAAATATAATATAATCCAGCATGATGACAGCAGCTGTGTGTGTAAACAAGCGCAAGTGAATGACGTGACTGGGGCAGTATGGCCTCACAGACTCTGACAAATGACTCCGCAGGTAAATACTGATGCGGCGCCACATATTTGGACATTTATCTGTCTGTAAATTGGATTAAATTGACATAATATAGAGAGTCTAAGCTTTATAACGAGGTATAACCTGCTCACGTGGACGATCGGCCTAAATCTAGCCAATATGGGCCGATATGACGCCAAGTGTCCAAATCAGCTGATAATATCGACCAACCGATATATCAGTCAGGCCATACTCCACAGTATGGCATTACACATATTTATTTACAGACATTCTTATTGCTGCTTGTTGCGTATATTCACTTACTAAAGCCTCACCTCTCCACAGATCTCGAGGAAGTTCACAGTTTGCTGTTGTTAACGTGAAAACCACCACTACGTGACATCACGAGGTGGAACCAGGTGTGTCACAATAACAAATTTCAAAGCAGGATGTATTGCCACAGACCGAGCTACGCCGCGAAACTGCTTTATGCCACTGACACAATAACAACAATGCAACAATAAACCTAGTAAACAAACTTTAAATAGACCGTTTCATTCAAAAGGCCTGAGCTGCCACAAATAAACAACAGAATGAACCGATAATGAGTTATAAAAGACACTTATTCAACTTCCTACAGCTCAAATCTTACTGTATTACAATAAAATAATAACAATCTCAACACTAATGCACAGAAAATGTACGAACAATAAATACTGAGCTCCAAATATTATCCAATCCGTCATGTATTGAACGGTAAGTCGATATAATAATAATCAAGAGGCAGGTGGACCAGAGCATTTTGAGCTTTTAAATGTAGACAGACTAATAAAAAAGGATTAATCAAACACGTGCGAATGAAACAAAACACTCCAGGTCTGTTTTTGAGGAGGTAACAACATTATAACATTATTACGGTATTTCGTAGAGGTGAACAAAACTGTGAACATGCGACTTTTTCCTCTTAAAATGCCAAATCCAAAGAACTAAGACTAGTCTGCACTGAAATGGAGCAAAGGATCATGGTCTATGTAGTTCCCTCTGTCATTTTTAATCTATTGTTGCACCATAACTCTTCATTTAAGCAAAGAGACTTGTAATTCGATATATTGTGATGGTCCACGATATTATTGTGAGAACTTTGACGATACGATATCACGATATTTCGGTTATTGTTACATCCCAACCAGATGTGTTTTTGACGAGGAACTTTATAACAAAAATTTTAAAAATAATGTAGTATGGGCACTTTAAAAATCTGTGTGTCATTCCGTTCATTTGTTTCTCAAACTAAAACAGTTTTCTTCATTATTCGTCTCCAAAACCAAAATGAAAAAACGGATAAAGATTTGTTTTTTCAGTTTTGTGTTTAAAATCCGTGTTTAAAATCTGTGTTTAAAATCGGATAACGGCCATTTCCCGTTTGCGTGACTTTCATGACTGCGATGCCGGACTTTTAATCCTGGTTCAGTCCGTATGCGGCGCAAAACAGGACTAAACCAGGACTAAACCATTTTCAGTCCCGGTCTCAGTGTGGTCCTGTTCCCGGTCTCAGTGTGGTCCTGTTCCCGGTCTCAGTGTGGTCCTGTTCCCGGTCTCAGTGTGGTCCTGTTCCCGGTCTCAGTGTGGTCCTGTTCCCGGTCTCAAGCCTGGTCTCAGTCCTGGTCCGGTTCCTGGTCCTAAACTCAGTCCTTGTCTGGTTCCGGTCAATGACCTGGTCCCAGTCCCAATCTGGTTCAGGTCTGGACCCGGACCTGGTTCTGGTCTGGACCCGGACCTGGACCTGGTTCTGGTCTGGACCCGGACCTGGTTCAGGTCTGGACCCGGACCTGGTTCTGGTCTGGACCCGGACCTGGTTCTGGTCTGGACCCGGACCTGGTTCAGTCCTGGTCCAGTCCGGCATCACAGTTTAAGTCATGTAAACAGGAAACGTCCGTTATCCGTTTTTTCCATTTTTCATTTAAACACAAAATCAAAATATATAAATAAATAAAAAATCATTATCTGTTTTTTCATTTTGGTTTTGGAGGCAAATAATGAAGAAAATAGTTGTTTTTTGTCACCATCTTATTTTTTGTTTTATTTTGAAAAGCCAATGATACACGGATTTTTAAAGCTCACATCCATTTTGCAAACTATAGGGCCTTTATATCAAAATCTGTCTATTTTAAGTTAGAACAGCGTCGCACATTTCGCCCTGCAGTGAACTCTCGGCCGGTTAATACCTTCCCGCAGTACACAGGCTGTTACTCTTACATCACATAAGGTGCTTTGAGAAACATTGGCTAAACCCGGCGTGGCTAAACCGCTGTTGAGTAACTTCTGCTTGTACTCGCCTGCTGAACAAACTCGCCAGCGCGCCCGGCTTCTTCTCCTGCCTCGCCGGGCTCCACGCCGTCTCCGGGGAGGACGACAGCGTCACGTCGGAGAAGTGCGCCGCGCAGCCGTCGTCCGTCTCCAGCGTGACGATGGCGCTGGAGTCCGACGTCACCGTGAAGTCCAGCATGTCCTCGTTGGAGGCCGACAGCTCCGTGCTCATGCTGGAGACGCTGCACACCGAGATGTCGTCGCTGCGGTTCAGGCCCCCGGCGTTGGCGCTGTTCGCGGAGAGCCGGATCCCGGGGCTGAAGAGGCGCACGGAGTCGAAGCCGCTGCGGGGGAACGTCGAGGATTTGTGAACGCCGTCGCTGCTGCTGTCGTCGTCGAGCGACAGAGTGGCGGGCGCGTCGCGGTCGGGGGACTGGCGGTTGTGGTGGACGAGGATTTCCGGCGGGTGGATCTCCAACGTGGGAATGCCGGAGTCTTGGGAGGTCAAGCTGTGGCTGTCCTGGTCGGAGTAGCTCTTTTCGAAGAAGTGGTGGGCGGGGCTGAAGTGGTGCGCGGCGATGTGGAGGTTGTGGACGGGGAGCTCGGCGACGCCATTGTGCTTCAGCGCGGAGCCGTTCTGGACGATGACACCTCCGGAGTCGCCTGGAAGAGAAGACAGAACGGTTTTAATGACATCTTTAAAAGTTCCTGTGAGCAAAATCTGTCTTGACCCAGGACTAGGGGATGGGACAAGATCTCGCGTCACAAAATCTCACGAGACAAAAATCGCCACAAGGTCGTGCACACAAGAGAAAAATGATCTCTTGAGATTTGATTCCATGTGTTTAAATTTAGCTTGACCAAAAAACAGGTTAAGTGTTGGCGAGTTGCAAGTCTTACAGTTGCAAAAAGCAGTACTAGAATGGCAAAATATGAAATAAAATAATAAACAATCATAATTCTGAGGACTAAACTGGAAACTGGCAATCATAAAATGTAAAAATATTAGGAATTATGTTAAAATCTGGTCTTGTTTCGTTCTCGTGGACCCAGTCTCTGATCTCGTCTCGTATTATGTAAGCAGGTCTTGAGGTTAAAATAAATCCGCTATAATGAGATCCAAACCTCGATACATTTTCACGATATGTCATATTACAGTGGCACTCGATATTATTGTGAGACTTGACGATGAGACATCACGATATTTCGATTATTGTTACATCCCTACTACCCCATACGACAAACGAAGGATTTAAACCAGCAACTTTTTGTATTCATCTGTCTGCTCTCTGGGAACTTTCTCCAGGTTTTGGGTCAGGATTTCCATTAGAAAGTCATAACTCCAGACACAGGAAGACCACTTTACCACTAGAGCTTGGTATTAGTAACGAGTTGCCGACATGATCCGTGTATCATTCGTTCATTCTTTTTCATATAAAACCAAAAATAAGAAAACGAAAAAACAACAGTTTTCTTCGCTATTTGTCAAAACCAAAATGAAAAACGGATAACGATTCGTTTTTTTCGTTTTCGATTTTGTGTTTAAATGAAGAATGGAAAAAACGGATAACGGCCGTTTCCTGTTTCCGTGACTTCCGTGACTGCGATGCCGAACTTTTGCACAGGTACGGACTGAACCAGGACTGATCCAGGTCCGAGACCAGAACCAGACTTCGACCAGAGCGGACCAGAGCGGGATCAGAGCGGAACTGAGACCGAGACCAGCGGTCCGAGCGGTTCTGTGTCATCGTCTCCGCGCTGGTTCCGTGCGGGGAAAGTGAGAATGCGCTGTGGACTACAGGTCCGGACGGGCTGCTCCAGAACCGCGGCTGGTTCTGAGGTGGTGCAAAGCATCCAACTGACGCTTTCACACCAACGAAAACGAACCGAACTAAGAGCTTTTGGTTCAAATGGACCAGGTCCGGGATCAGACCGGGACCAGAACGCTACTGAGACTGGGACCAGACCGGGACCAGAGCGGGCCTGAGACAGAGACAAGACCGAGACAAGACCGAGACCAGATTGGAGGCTCAGAGCCCACGGCAGGGCCGGAGCTCGAAGCTGAGGCTTGGACCCCGCGGAGGCTCAGAGTCAAAGCTTGGAGTCCGCCCCAGTCCTGCTCTGGTCCTGGTCTGGTCCTGCTCTGGTCCCGCTCTGGTCCCGCACCTGGATCAGTCCTGGTTCAGTTATCGTTCGTTCGTTATCCGTTTTTTCCATTCTTCATTTAAACACAAAATTGAAAACTGAAAAAAGAATCATTATCCGTTTTTTTTTCATTGGTTTTGGAGACAAATAGCGAAGAAACTGTTGTTTTTTCGTTTTCTTATTTTTGGTTTTATATTGAAAAACGAATGAACGAATGATACACGGATTGACATGATACATACTTCGATACACAGGCTGCGATACGATGCCTCTCTCGATACAGTGAGCTTTCAATTCGATGACATGTTTCAAAACGATTTGATACGGTTCAACAAAAAAATAATGGCTAATGCTGCGTTCGTTTATCCATTCGTCTCCCACTCGGATGTCGGATATAACATGACGTCCGCACTTCAACCGTTTTATTATGTTTCGTGGGTCTGACTTGGAGGAAAACGTTGACGCAAAAAGGAAAACTGTTGTTGCTTTAGCACTGGTCGAATACCAAACGCTACAAAACAAGTCTGTGCTTCAGCTACACAACCTCGAGGAAGAATTCTGTATAAATAGTATAATTCAGTATATTAGTGAAGTGTGGAGTCTGGCTGAGTGTGTAAATGTTTGTTTTGTCTTGTCATGTATAATATACTAGCTGAAGTGTTGTTCTGTGAAGTGTGGGAGGAGACTGGAAATGTCAAACCTTTGCTTCATCCATCCCCCATTGTTATGTTGTTATGTGAATTTTATGTGCAGGTTTGAAATAACTAAGTCAGGGGTGTCAAACTCATTTTTTTCCGGGGGCCGTATCCAACCTACTTTGATCCCAAAGGGGCCGGATCAGAAAACTCATGTCATATAAACCCCAAAAATAACAATAAGTTCAAATATTTGTGCAGAGAAACACAAATCTATTACAGAAATCTTTTTTAATTGATGAACTCTTTCTTATTATAATATTATAATATTATGAACAACCTGAAACTTTAAGAAAAATTCAATTTCAACACAATGTTTTAACATGAACTTGTTTGCAAACAGGAATAAGTCAATTTTTCTTGTAAAATCCTGCACTTGGCTCCACTTTTCTCATGTTGGACATTTTTCTGATGAGGGTGTCACGGTCAACAGTCAAATGATCGTCCTTTAAGAGCGTTTGGAAAGAGACAAGTCTTCATTTGTGCTGCTCTGGTGGGAGGGGCCACGTACAGAGACGCTGGAGACGCTGCTGTGATAAACACCACAGAAAATTATACAATATTTTAATAGAAAATATAATTAAAATATTTTAGTAGAATATCACCCAAGGGCCACATTAAAGGTCTTGGAGGGCCGGATCTGGCCCCCGGGCCTTATGTTTGACACCTGTGAACTAAGTGAAAGCGTTGGTTTTGCGTGACAGTCGATCACTTTGACACGTTAGCAGGAAATGGGCTAAAAACATGGGCCACACTAACTCCAAAACCCACAGGCTGTGATACGGACGAGGTGAGGTCCTGCAGTGATACGAGTGACTGAAATAGTCATTTAAAAAACCAAAGCGTCCAGACACAATGAAAACACTCCATACGACATGTGACACTGGGCGCATCCGTCTTGGACTCTATCTTGGAACTCTGAAGAGCTTGGAGGAGACCGAGCAAGAACTTCGAGTTGCGCTGTTCGATAAAAAGGCCATGTCAGTGAGTCGGATGGATAAAGGAACGCACCATAAACCGTGGCTGTGATACTAAAACCACTTCTTGTGCAAAGTTCATATAGAAACAAATTTTAGTCCTAAAAACAGTGAAAATGTCAAACATGTCAGATAAACAAGTTTCCTTCCTCTGAACAAGCAACAAAACTGTAGCTGTAACAAAATAATTCTGTAAAATATACCAAAATATCCTCTTGGCGATATATCGATACAGCAGTCCACGATATCACACATGTATCATCACATTAAACAACACGATTATAATGATATTTCAATATTTCTGCACACCCCTATTTACCCCCATATAAGGACGAAGGCCGGTTGTGTTTCTACTGTGTGATGTTCTAGTACGTCTGGTCCTGGACTTGCTTCCACATGAAACATTACAGACCAAATGTCAAAACAATAAATCTAACACTTCCTAAACAAAAGGGATAGTCTTATTGTTTCTTGTCAAGAGCTACAAGACCACAGGTATGCACTGTTCTATACCAACGCTTTAATACCGGGCGGAGCTGAAGGTGGAGCCACACACTGACATTGACATAGACTTTGACATGCTTTTCGTCGTTCTTATTCTATTGTCTTCATGTCAATTTGGTATTTACACATTCAGAGTATGTACAGTACTTATTATAGAACACTGTGGAGTCTGCAGTGTCATGTACAGAGCCAAGTATGATTCATTCATGTTTTTATTTTGAACCTATAATTATACGATATGTGATCTGAGAATTTTTTTTTTAATCTTTTAATGTTTTTTTTTTTTTTTTATCTGTTTAAGAATGCCACAATGAGACCACAATAGTATGCAGCATTTTTTTCTTTTCCATGATCAATGCTGATTTTTATTTTATTTTTGCAACAATATTTTATTAGAATGAAAAAAAAAAAATGAAAAAAAAAAGCAGCGATATAAAGAAAGAAGAAAGATTTGGGAGAACTTTTGGGACTAATTTGAGAGACAAATCAATTTAAAATACGTCTCGACAATAACCGCCTGCCCTCTGGTCCCGGAAGTAAGTTTGCCATTAATTTTTTTCCCATAGACTTTCATTAAAAATAAATAAAAAGTGTGAAAGCTTGGAGCTCATCAAATATGTGGTAACAAATGACCACAAGACTTATAATTTTCAGCCGAAACGTCATTCAGTAACACGGCTGACGTCATGCGGTGAAACACTATCACTGTGAAATGTGTAAGAAAAAGTCGTTTTGACATAAATAATATACTTTTTTCACCTAAGAACCAGGGCAGCTCGATTACACAAAAAATCATTATCACGATGATTTTTGGTCAATATTGAATCACGATTATTCAAACAATAATTTTTTGTTTCTCGATGCATTTGTTCAGCATTTCTCTCTCAAAAAAAAACACTTTGTTATTGATCATTTCCGCAAAACTTTCAAATTAAAAATAAATACAAGCTACAAATATGAACCTTAGAGCAGTTTTGCGATGTATAAAACAGAAAATTAATAAAATATACTGAACATGAAATAAGGCATAGAAAAAAATATCAGTGCATCCAAATTAAGCTATACATATATCCAGCTGTTCTACAATCTATATTTAAAAAAATTAAATCTAGTTATTATAAAAATCTACTTTAAATCTACTTATTTATATATATATAAAAAAAAAATCCCAAAATAACTCTGGTAAGCGTTAATTGTTTCAACTCGATTATATGAATTTGGAGATCGTTTGACGAAATCTCGATCAAAATTCAGTTAATTGCACAGCCTTAATAAGAACTTAAATTTAAAGAGGGAAAGCGCTAATATGCTCAAGTTTTATCAAATTTCTAAGTGTTTTACT